CTTTTCATATTTTATTTTATTTTTATTTCTATTTATTTTGAGAGACGGGGGGTGGGGCAGAGGGAGAGAGAGAGTCCTAAGCCGGCTCTGAGCTGTCAGCACAGAGCCCGACACGGGGCTCAAACTCACGAACCGCGAGATCGTGACCCGAGCCGGAAGTCAAGAGTCAGACGCTTGACCAACTGAGCCCCCAGGCGCCCCAGAGGCACTTTTGAAAGGGGACGGAGGAAGAATGGAAACAGAAGCTCACGCCCGCCCTGCGGCTGACTAGACAAACTCACGTTCTCAGCAAGAAAAGGAAAAAAAAAACCATCAGCACTTCAAGGGGGCCCTGGTTCCTGGTGAGCTGAGCAGTCGGAAGGGAATTGAGGTGGTTGGTGCCGGGCCGGGGTTGGGGTGTTTCCCCAGCCTGGATCTTGTGGGTGGGGACCGACCCTCGGGGGCACAGGCCACAGCGATTGTCCTCTCTCCGGCAAAGCAGTGCGGCGAGGGCAATGGGGCAGGTGGTGTGCAGGCTCAGAGGAGGAGTGGGCAGGGCGGCCCGCGGGCCCTCTGCAGGGTGTGGGGACAGAGGAAGTGTGCTTTGGCCAGGGGATCAGACAGAAGGCCACTCCCAGGACCATTACCATCACCTCGTCATCCCTGGGGCACACGGATGCCTCCCGAGAGGCACTGCCACCCTCCAACCAAAAGAACGAGCACAGAGTCCTGTCTCGGCGGCCGCCCCTCCACAAGGGCCATTTCTGCTGCAAAAGCCAAGCCAAGGCCAAGGTCTGCAAAGACCTGAGACAATGCTGGCGCCTGAATCTGGTTTATTCAAGCAAAGCCAAACAAATTCTACAGTGCTTTCTGCCAGGCGCTGTTCCGTTGCCTTTCCAGTCCTGAACTAATTCAAGCATCCTAACAACCTAAAGACATGAGTATGGTTATCATTTCCACCTCCCAGACAGGGAAGATCAAGTCACATTCAGGAGCTTGTCCAGGGCCCTCTGGCTCTATCACCTGAGCGCTTGGCCCCCTCACCTGCCGCCTCTTACCGACGGCCATCAACAAGACCGGGTGAGGGCCCGCTGTGAGCCCCGAGAGCTTCGGGGGGGGGGGTACTGGAAGAAATCCAACAAGCAAGTGAGAACCAGTTAGGGATCGAGGGAACAGTTAGATGCTTGCTGGGCTGGTTCTGTGGTTCACAGGGGCAGGACACTGGAGGTGGAAAACAGGTCAGGGCAGCAGGGGCAGGTGCACAGGGTTGGACATCTGCCCACCTCTGTCTCCCTACTGGACTCTATGTGTGGCCAGGGGGGGAGCCCCTCTCCAGTGTCATGGGGGCACCGCACAGCTCATGTGTGGGCAGGATGAAACCAGGAGGACCCCCGGTCGGCCACAGCCAGCCAGACTGCAGGGGGATGAACTTGGCCTTGATGGCTGGGCAAGGGTCAGTGTAGGAGAGTGAAGGGAGCCCAGACGGCTTGGACGGGCCAAGGCCATTCTTAGAGGATCTCAAAAGCCAGGAAGATGTTTAGACTTGACGCAGTAGGAGCGAGGGAGTCAGGAGGGCTTTCGAGCACAGAAAGTTCCTTAAAGAGAGCACTTCAATTTTTTTTTTTTAATGAAAATAACACAGTGCCTCGCACATCATTCCAACAAGTGTTTGTTGAGTTGGACTGAGCGTTAGGACAGAGAGTTCTGAGTATGCATCGGGATCTAAGTCCCGACTTTATCTTACGTTTGCTTCTTGCACCAAAGCAAACATTCCCCTGGAGTTTCAGGTTCCTCCTCAGGGAAGGAAGGGGTTGGTGCAGCCTGCCAGAGACCAGCCGGCTCACTGCCCCTGCGTGCGCTGCTGACCCTGTGTGACCTGAGGGCCAGGAACATGCCTGTCTTGCCCCCCTCCCCCCAGAACCAGGCACAGCGCCTCGCACCAGGCAAAGCCCAATTCAGACTGTCTGAAGAGCAGCCCTTGAAGGCCCCCTCCCCCTCTGACTTCCTGGGGGTTTCTAGACCCCACAATGTCAGCACTGTCCTTGGGAAGCTGATATAGGGGAAGGGAGAGTCAGGGACAGCGGCCCCCAGCCCTCCTACATTGTCACTGGAAACACAGGCTGCAGGCGTCACTTCCCAGATGTCCCGGACTGGGTCCTCCTCCATTGGCACCTGCTCTCCTGCCTTGCCCAAGACCTCAGAAACAAACGCATTTGTCCTAACAAGCGGAACGGAAGCGTGATCCAGAAAAGTCATGGTGAGGACTGTGCTAATGTCTTCACCAAACCCAGAACACAAAATGCATTTGAAGAAATGCTGAGACTATTCCCAGCTGGAAGAGTAATCTGAGCTATTATGTCCCCAGAGCAGGCGTTCTCAGCAGCTTTGTGAGCGCCAGGTTGGCAAATCGGGGTGCGCGATTCTTCTGGTTTTCTGTTTGGGACTATGGAGTCTCGCTGGTAGTTTCTTGCTGGATACTGGACCCTGTTGATCATAGCTCTGGTCATTCATTCGCCTGACATTTACTGAGGACCTGCTGTGTGCCCCTGATTTCAGTGGGGTACACGGTCTAGCAAGGGAGGCAGTACCCAGGGTGACAAGTATCCAGATTAGGGAGCCCTGCTTCACTGGAGGGCTGCCTCTGAATTCACGGCATTGCTAACACTTGAAGGATAGCTGGGCTGGAGGAGGAAGATGAGGAAGGCCGGGGGAAGGCAAAGGCTCTGGGCAGAGGAAACCCCATGTGCCAGGCACCGGCCTGGAAGAGGGTGACCCCATGTTTGAGCAATTGATAAGAAGCCAGGCCCGGGGAGGAGATGAAGGGGGATGGGGCCCAGGGGACAGACACCCTAGTCCCATGTGTGTTGAATGCACTGGGAGAACTGAGATCATGTCCTAATGGGATGAGATGGGAAATTTTAGATAGGATGGGGAAGTGTGTGTGTGCGTGTGTGTGTGTGTGTCTGTCTGTGTGTGTGTATGAAAAATTATGCATTTGAAAGATCACCCAGGGGGTGCCTGGGTGGCTCAGTTGGTCAAGTGTCTGACTCAGGTTTCGGCTCAGGTCGTGATCTCGCAGTTCGTGGGTTCTCCAGCCTGCATCAGGCTCTGTGCTGACAGCGTGCGGCCTGCTTGGAATTCTCTCTTCCCCCCGCCCCCCGCCTCTCTCTGTCCCTCCCCTCTCAAGTGTGCTCTGTCTCTCAAAATAAGTAAATGAAAATTTATTTATTTATTTTTTAATTTTTTTTTTAATGTTTATTTATTTTTCAGACAGAGAGAGACACAGCATGAATGGGGGAGGGGCAGAGAGAGAGGGAAACACAGAATCGGAAGCAGGTTCCAGGCTCTGAGCCATCAGCCCAGAGCCTGACGTGGGGCTTGAACTCGCGGACCGCGAGATCGTGACCTGAGCTGAAGTTGGACGCTTAACCGACTGAGCCACCCAGGCGCCCCAGTAAATGAAAATTAAAAAAAAATTAGAAGACCACTCGGGATGTGGCACGGAGAATCAGAGGGAGAGACGCACGGATACCTGAGGCCAGTGACAAGCGCCGAGGAGATCGGTGGGGAGAGAGCCTAGAGCATCTGGGGAACAGAAGGGGTCAGGGTGGAGTACAGCAGGTGTCAGGGAAGACTCCAAGGCCGTGCAGGAGCAGACCAGGGGGGTGGTGCCGCATTAGAAGGAGGACGTGAGAAATTCCACAAAGGCTACTGGCCGCATGCTCAGGGCACTTGGAATCGATTCCCTTTGGGACTCAGTGCACTTGAAGTGCCTTCAGCAAGGTAGCCTCCTGGAGACTTGAGGAGCCGGAACTGGGAGGGCACTCTGTGCCCCTGATGCTCCCGAGTCATCAGCAGGTGGGTGGTGATCGGGGGCATGGGAATCTGCTGGCATGTCGCTGAACAAAGTGGGTGACTCTCAGCTCAAGCTGGAAGACGCCGGGTATTTCAGAGTGGTCAGCTGTGTAGACTGACAAGGAGGATCCACTGGGTTCAGAGGATGGCCAGAGGGCATGGGCATGTGATGTGCCAAATGCTGAGGAGAAGAATGTGTTTTTGCTATACTATACATGTGTGTGTGTGTGTGTGTGTGTGTGCATGTGTGTGTTTGAATCATGTCATTAGAAAAATAGTGCTGAGCTCTTCAGTAAATAAATACTTAACTAAATTCTGTGAAAAGAGAATAGAGAGATCAACTCTGCTGAATGATCAACATGCTGAATGTGCATGGGAGAAGAAGCAGTAGGAAGGAACTGGATGGAGAGCCTCAGCCAGGCCTGGTCCTTGTCAGGGAGGAAGAGGTGTGGAGAGCCACCACAGTGGGCCGAGACGTGGGGCATCCCCTCTGATGTGCCAAGCCAGCTGGTACTCTGAAAGTGCCCTGACTCTAATGTAAACGGCTGCCCTAGCAAGTGCCCTCGCCTATGGTGGGAACGCTGTGGGCCAGAGAAACAGAAGGACAACGTCAGGGTCTCCTACCCAGCAAAGGCTGGATGCTCCCGGTTCTGGAGCCCATGCCGCTCCCACCATCCTGATCTGTGCAGACAGGAGGCCAGGTCCCCCAGAGGTGCCGTGTGCCTGGCTCAGACACCACCGGGGGTGACTAAAATCCGGATTGTAAAATCGCAAAGGGTAAAAGGCTTTCCTCTTTCTGCAGGTTCTGGAGAGGTGAGTGGCAACTGGGGGCTGCTGGACCAGCTGGCGGCTCTGACCTGGGTGCAGACCCACATCGCAGTGTTTGGTGGGGACCCTCGACGCGTGACCCTGGCGGCAGACCGTGGTGGAGCCGATGTGGCTGGCATCCACCTTCTAACCACCAGGGCCTCAGACTCCAGACTCTTCCGGAGGGCTGTGCTGATGGTGAGTCCCTTCTTCCGCCTTCAGATTTGTTTTAGACACGGGTGAGGCGAGGGGTCCTCACTTGCCTTTTAAGACCAGTTGACTTCAATTGCTTGGTTTCCTTTATCCATGCTTGCTCTTGGCCATCTTTCCATGTACATGTGATTCCAGGATGCCGAGGAACTCCCCTGACTACTGTCCATCATTCTAAACTGAGCAAAATTCTAGATGGGAAAGTGTTTCTATTTTGGGAGATTGCCTCAGTAGGGCTTAATGATCTGAACTCTTGAAGACCTCTTTTGCCAATCGACAAACATAAGGGGGTAGACTGTAGGATGAGAAGCTTTCTGGTGGAAGGAAAGCTAACGATGAGGGCACAGTTTAGCCAGTATGATGCTCACGACACCCAACAGTATTGCTCACGACAGGGGAGAAGTGGAACAAGAGAATTCTCATCTGCTCCCCAGTGTCGCTTCCCTGACCTTCTCGGGTTTGAACTTAAAATCTTCCCTTATGCTGTCTGGTTTCTTCAACCGCCCATGCTCCAAATCTCCTGCTGAGATTCTGTTCTGGTGGCATTTCTTTGTGGAGCACTATTGGGTGATTCATTCCCTGTATCTAATCCCTTCTACCTCGTTGTTTCCTTTGCCTGAGGGGTGAGGGGAGGTGGAGACCCCAGAGCTTGCCCCCATGGTGGATCAAGGAGTGGCGGGCAGCTGGGTCAGCAGCCACAGGGTGAGGCATGGAGCTCCCAAGGTTTGGCCAACTGGGTCACTGACTGTTGAATGAAGGCAAAGAATAGAACTCAGTACTCATGGGTCTACTGGGTGGTCTCATGAAGTTCCTGGTAGATGGTGATGATGGTGGTGATGATGATGGTGATGATTATGATGGTCATAGTGATGGTGATGATGGTGATGATGATGATGGTGGTGACGGTGATGATGATGATGGTGATATCATACCGATGATAGTGATATAATGATATCGATCATAACAGTAACTATTATGGAAGAAATAACCTGGTTGATCACAGCATAAGCCCTGATGGTTATTCTGTCATTGATGAGCTTCTAATTTTATGAAGCATCCAATCTGTGCCAGGTGCCATGCTAGGTGCTGGAAATGCCATGCCAAATAATTCATGTCCTAGTTCTTAGAAGCTTGTAGTTTACTGGGGGGTGGGGGACAGACACTTAAAAAGCAGATATTTAGAAGAGGGTCTTAGGGCAGCTCAGAGAGAAGCCCCCATCCAAGCACAAGGGAGGGGGGGAATGTCCACGGACACCTCCCGGGAGAAGGAATGTCTGAGCAAAATGTGAACACTGTGTAGGCATTGAACCACAGGCAGAGTCCCAACACTAAGGGGCAGCTGGGCTCCTCACGGAGGTCTGCCAGCCCTGGGCTGCAGTGGGGGACAGGGCAGTAACGGAGACCGGGAGGCAGAGAGCAGCTGGACTGCAGTGAGCACCTTGGGTGCCATGGAAGGGGTATGTTTGTTTGCTTATTTGGTTTGGTTTCATTTGGCTTGGTTTCCTATTTTAACCATTTTTAACTGTACAATTCAGTGCCATCAAGTATAATCAATTGCAATGTCATACAGTCATCATATTAATCATTTCCAGAACTTTCCATCATCTCAAACAGAAACTCTGTATATGTTAAACAATAACCCCCATCCCCCCTGCTCCCCAACCCCTGATAACATCTATTTTGCCTTCTGTCTCTATGAATTTGCCTGTTCTAGGTACCTCACATTAGTGGAATTGTACAAAATTTGGTGTGTGTGTGTGTGTGTGTGTGTCTGGCTTATTTCACTTAGCATAATGCCTCCATAAAGGTTCGTCTGTGTTGTAGTTTATATCAGAATTTCCTTCCTTTCTAGGTTGAATAATATTCCATTGTTTGCATATACCGCATTTTGTTCCCGTATTCATCTGTTGGTAGACACTGGGGCTATTTCTGCCTTACTGTGAATAGTGCGGCGATGAACATTGGTGTGCTCTCAAAGGGTTTTTCGGCGAGGGGGAAACTCGCTTCCCTTTAGGAAGACTTGTCTTAGAGCTGAGTGGAGGATGCATTTAAGAGGGACAGTCCTGAAAGCAGAGAAAGCAATGCTGAGATCATGAAGTAGCCAAATTAAGGCATCAAGACCAATGCCATGGACCTGCTAGCAAATCTAAGGCCATATGACCACACTGCAGCATTGCCCAGCCCTGCTGGGATCCAAACCCTTGATAGGAAGGAGGACAAGAGTGACATCGTTTGGGCCTCAGTGCTGCTGGGTCAACATCATCACCGTCCCCAAAGGGAAGCGGTACCACCTGCTACTTGGTCTCTCTCCTTCAGCCACTGGAGCCTTCCAACATTCCTTGAGGGGCCCATGCTCTGTTTTGCTTCCTAAGGACGTTTCCTCTGCGTGCCACACTTTTCTCCCATCTTCCTCTTTGCCCGCTCTGTTTGTCCTTCAGGGAATCCTTTCAGACTTTTCAGCCCAGAACCAGACCCCCTTTGTATGACCTCTGCTGCCTGTACTTCTCTGCACATCATGTGTCACGATATCCCACCAGGAGATAATTATTCCCACTGCCAAATCCGTCCCTCTCATAAGACGGGAAACTCTGGGAGAGCAGAGGACAGCTGTGCCCTGCTCTTACAGGGCCCCAAGCACTCAACACAGCTGTCTTACAGTAGATGCTCCAGAGTTAATATCCGGGAAGCGAAGGAGCAGAGGAATGGGCACGTGTGTCCAGGGTCTTACAGGCCAGGACTCCTCCCTCCCCACCACCACTTTCTCGTGTCCCTTTGTTCCCGATTTTCCTCGGTCTCTCCCTCCATCTTCGCGGCAGGAGGTCTGAGCCCAAACATCTCTCAATTCCTGGTATTGGAAACAGAACTTCCTGACTTTGAGTTGCTCCTGAAGGGATTTCCTCCGAGCCTTCTCAGCAACCAGACACTCGGTGGGACCTGGAAGATGCCAGAAATACCTTCCAGGAGGCCCAGGAGGCCGAGTTTTCTTTTTGAAAAGTCTGGAGAGTTTAGGTGTTTGGGGGATTTCAAAGACTAATCTGTTTTAGCAAATGGCAGTGTATTTAAAAATAAACTCCATCTGTTTCAGTCATTTAGAAGCAGCTTTTACAACCGCTCCCAGCAGTCTTTGAGATGCATGTGAAATTATTTGGAATCGAGAGAACGAAAATACTTCAATATATTAGCGGCTCTTAAACTTGTTCTTTACCAGCAGATGTTTGGGGGAATGGATGTGAGTTGGTGATATATTCTTGGACAGAATCGTAAGTATTTCTGCAAAGCTTGAGGCCAGAGCTGTTAAAATGGAGAGACAGGCCCCTGTGATAATTAATAACTTTATTGAGCATATTTGGGGCCACAGAGCACCTCCCATATATTATTTCATAGATTGTTCACATTGCGTGGCACAGGGTCTTTGTATTATTTGCAATCTAGAGGTAAGAAGTCTGAGGCTTAGAGAGGTTTAGTGACTGGCTAAAGAACACACAGCCGAGAAGGAGCTGCATTAGAGGCTGGCACCTAAAATCTCGTCCTGTGTCTCCCCCAACTATGCAGCGGCTTCTCTAGAAACTTGCGACTCTTTCAGGGTCTTAAGGTGGAAGGGGAAAGAGCCCAGGCCTAGCATCAGAATGCTTCACTCTTGCATTCTTTACGGATAAAATCTGTGTGATTAATTCTGTCTCCCAAAGGCTTGGATGGTTGGCATCACAGTAGGTGTGCAGAATGTTCTGGAGTTCCCGAACTCCAGAAATCCAGGTTCCGCCTCGCCTTGCTAAGCTAGGGCAATGCCAAGAAAAAGCACGTCTGGGGATGCTTCACCTGCCCAGGACGCCAGGTTGAAGAAGAGAGACGGGTGACGTGTTGCAAACATGAGCTGTGTGGCTCTGATGCCCCGGGCAGTTTTAAGAGAAGACAGAGGAGGTCATGTCCTATGTGGTATGATTCATAGAGTCCAGGAGAGATTTCCACTGCCCTCCTACAACACTGCCCCAATTCTGCATTCCTCAGTGCGAGTGCCAGGCCCCAGGGATTGGCCCCAAGCTATGTTTTCCTGTCTCCTTTTCTGCTGCATTCCTGCCTGAGCCCTGCACTCCAGGCTCACCGGTAATCAACATTCCTAGAAAATGCCATGCCTTCTTCCACGTCTTTCCATCGCTGTTCGTGGTCAGCTCTTCGCAGCCAGTATGTCTGCTTCTCCACCTAACGAGTCACTTCCTTCTTCGAGGCTTGGCTGAAACGGGGCCGCGAAGCCTCTTCTCCATCTCTTAAAACAGAGTGACTCTCGCTTTGGTGAAGAGACTTCTATTTGGCAATTTTTAGGAACACCGCCTTGTCTTACCTACTGGTTAGTCTTCTAATGTATCTATTCCCATGCTGCTGTGACTGAGTGCTTAACTGGGAACGTGAAATTTTCCTCTTAGAACTTCCTTAACACTTAGCACAGCCCTGGGCAGAAGAGGGTACCGAAGCGCAGGCCGAGTTCTGTTAAACTGGTGGAGGGGCCCAACCACTGCTTTCTCGTGTTTTCACACAAACCTCCTCATTCAAGCTCGTTCTCCTCCATTTCTCTTAATCAAAATGGACTGAGGGGCGCCTGGGTGGCTCAGTTGGGTAAGCGTCCGACTTTGGCTCAGGTTATGATCTCACAGTCTGTGGGTTTGAGCCCCACGTCGGGCTCTGTGCTGACAGCTCGGAGCCTGGAGCCTGCTTTAGATTCTGTGTCTCCCTCTCTCTCTGCCCTTCCCCCGCTCATGCTCTGTCTCTTTCTCTCTCTCTCAAAAATAAATAAACATTAAAAAAAATTGACTGAGCTATTCATGGGCTCCAGTGCTCTCATCTATATTTTGGAATAAGTTTATTGATTGTCTTTCGATAGTCTTGATGGGAATTTGAATGTATTTTCATGGAATTTTTCAGTTAATTCAAAAAATGTCTATGGTTTTATAATGTTAAATCTTGCATCCATGAATCAGGTTGCCACCATTACCACA